TTTGCAGGATTTCTTTCGTCAAGTTTAATTGCTAAAGAGTTTTGTGCGATTCCCCATTTAAGTAAGTTTAGCCATATGGGGGTGAGTCAGTAGAAACGCATCAAAATTTTTTCTAAGTAAATTTTTTTAAATCTTTGAACAAAAATAACTCAACAATAACTTAAGCAAATTTAATATTTTTTTTTAATTAATTCTAAAAACTTGTAGAATTTATTTTTAAAAAATTGTATTAAATTTAATTAAGCTTTTGTTGAGTTATTTTTGTTCAAAGATTCAAAAAGATTTCATTAAAAAAGATTTGGTGCGTTTCTATTGACTCATCCCCATATATCAATTTCTTCATTTCAAGTTGTTTGCATTTTAATAGTCGTAAAAGGAGAGATTTATCAAGCGATAATACAATCCAATTTAGTCTTCATTTTACATCACTCGTCACAAATCTGTTATAAACCACCGGCTATTTGTTAATGGTAAATAACATTAACAAATAAAAAAATCATGATCAAATTTAAACATGGATCACTAACTGTATTTTCCAGTGGTGAAGGATCTTTAGCACATCTTCTAAACGCACTTGAAGCTAATTCTTGTAACATTGTATTCAGTATTCTATAACATTATAAATCATAAATAAATTTATGTACAGTACATATTAATTATAAATACATAGAAATATATATACCTCTCATCCTCAATATATTTCCAAAGCTTAAGTCGTACAAATTCTGAATCCACTTGAATTTGTTGAAATGTTTTATTTGTTAATGTTTGCATTCGAACGGTCTCTATCCACGTCTAGAATCACAAAAAAAGAATGCATATCTTCATATACTGTAACATATAATTTTGTATAGTTAATTACTGATTTCTGGGTTTATAAATACCTTTAGTAATATCTTTATGACACCCATCACAATTCCTGGCTTTCCAACTTCAACAATTCCAAAAATCTCAATTCTATCAGAAAACAATTTATCTATATGGTTCGATGTTTTTGGGCGATTTGAATTTATGGATGAATAGGAAGAATTTGAATGAGCATAAGGAGCTCGTACGGTATCTGAGTTGTCTTTATTTACTGCCGAATCCTGTTCAGTTGATGGTAGAGAATTATTGTCTGCATGTCAAAAAAAATTTTTTTTTTTGAGTTTGCATTATTTCAAATAGAGTAAGCATTCTTGTGTAATAAAATGTTTCATTACCTTGATCATCTAGATTATTTTCCTCCTCAGTCCCATAAAGCATCACGACTTCTTTCTCAATAAATACCAATTCTGTAACGATGCCATTCCACATTTTTGAAACACCCGTTGGTTGTGATGACACGTCAGTTAAATTTGTAGAAATTGACTTCATTGTATAAAGGCTGCGAATGCCCATAAAAATTCGATTCCCAACAATCTCCACATATCGTTTCAAAATTCTCTATAAATCAATTTAAAAAAAAATTGTAATTGTGCATAGAGATTGGTAGAGCTTGGATCCGGTCATCCGTTTTCATATTAAATTTAACGGATATCCGACGGATTTTACTATTAAATTTGCATCCAACGGATAACCGGATCTAAGCTCTAGAGATTGGAATCGATGAGTTTCGAACATTGATTGATCACAAACTCTAGATTTTCGAGCATCGGTAAAAAATTTTGACCGATGTTCGAATTTTCATTGAGTTTTAAAAATACATAAAAGAATTTAGTATAACATGAAATTTATCAATTGTACCATTATCTATACATTACTTAATTACAATTTACATGACTTATAATATGCGACATTACAAAAACTATTATCGATACATACGATTTACATGACTTATAATTTGCGCATTCTAAAGTGCTATTACCGCTACATTATTTAATATGCATTTACATGACTTATAATTTGTGATTTATATTATAAAAACAACCAAGCATTAATCCTAGACATCTGGAATAGTAAAATCTTTTTTTTCATGTTACGCTTCGAAATCAAGCTCAGGAAGAGCAAGATAATTTGTAACTTCGTTATTATTTTGGTTTTGTGAGCTTGATGAAAAACCAAATTTAATGAACCCTTTATGGTAAGCTTGCTTTTCACTTCGATTAGTTACATAAACTAATTTGGATTTTGGATTTCGATGAAGTAACTTGTTTAGATAAATAGTGCCGCTCCTTAAATTCTGCATACTATGCAGAATTTAAGGAGCGGCACTATTTTATCTGAACTAGTGAATTGACTCGACTATATCATGATCGATTATTGATTGAGTTGAGTCAATAATCGAGCATGATTTTGTAGACTCGATCAAAAATAGGTCAATTATTGATCAATAATGCTTGATCGATCAGAAAGTTGAATTTGATCGATCAAGAAAAATTTTATAGAATACATTATTATTTTAGATTTTTTTTTAGTAGATAAGATATAATTGATTAATTATTGACCTGATAATTGATCGATTATATATGTTGTAGGTGGATTCGGAATTCTATAGGTTCGGAATCCACTTAAGTGGATACTGAATGCACTTAATTTTATTTGGAATCTTAAATCGACTTAAGTGAAATGGAACATTTTAAAAATTAAAATTATTAAAAACAATAGAAATAAAAAATAAAATAAAAATAAATATTATTATAATTATAATATTGCGCATTATTTAATTTATGATTTATTTTTTATTATTACATTTTGAACTATGTGGATGACAACTACTTCCACATGGTATACCAGAATATTTACATTTACTATTATTATTTTTACATTTACTTTTCAATTACAATGTATGCCTGTTATAGTTGACATTGATTGCATTCTTGCAGCTTCATGAACACTAATAACACTATTTTCACAGACTTCAAGCTCTTCATACTTAGTTGGTCTCAATGGCATAAGTTTATTTGTGTTAAAGGTTATATCAAGAATTCCATTTTTACATTGCAAATGGTACATCTTGTTTAGTAATTCTTCAATTACTTTGCAAGGTAAAGTGTGCTGGTTGATATTGTTATAGTCTATTTTTGGAATTGCAATATAGACATATTTGTTAATAGCATATTAAAGTTGATACTTATTTTTTTTAGCATCTGGTTTTTTATTTATTCCTAATAGTTTGCAAGTGATTTATTCATATATTTAGAAGAAAGCTGGTAGTATTATTGAATATTTAGTAATAGTATTTCTTTTTTTTTGTTGTTAAGGTGACCTCTTGGTTGTGTTTCTTTTATTTGATTATAGATTTAACTTTTATAGTATAGTATCCATACCATATAAATATTTGAAGAATATACTAGCTATATATACAACTTTTGGTTGTCTATTTAGTTCTAAACTAGATGCTATATCTATAACTCAATTAGAGGGTTATCTATTTAAACTCTTTGCATCTATAAATATTAACCTTATAACTAAACAAGAATACTTTGTACTTTTTTATTTTTAGATGTCAACTTAGAACTTTAAAGCAGACTCATACTCTATAGAGAGCTTTTTATCTTGAAGATAAATCTATTAGAGCTTTTTGTATTCACAATCTGGTTAACCTAGACTTCAGTAACTTATACTAAGTTTGAGAACAAGTATTTATAAGTTTAAGTTACTACTATTACCTACTTCTGTCCTTGTAAAGTTTATCCAAACTTCAATACACACTTTATAAAATATTAATTGTATCTTTTAACTGCACTAAACTTCTAATTCAGATAGTTTAAAAGAACTATAATCTGCTTTTAATCACTATAATTAAGGTTTTGTTTTTTGATTACTTCTTCAGAGCCAAATACAACCAGCAGAAGAACTTGCATGTATTTTCTCAGATTTAATTGAAATGTATAATGTTATTTGCTTGACAACCTGCAATTTAAACCCTTGAAGACGATGACATGCTGATGATTCAAAGGCAGGCAGTAAGTTTTTTTTAATCAGATATGAGTTAGTGTAGAATTGTCCTAATGATTGCTGTAACTTTTGAAACAGCTAAAGTTTATATCATAACTAATTGCAGCAATTATTGGATGGTTCTATTGCATCATTAGTATGAGCACTTAATTTATTAGTTTAGGAAATTGATCATTTTAGCTAACAACTTTATTGCTTTGAACCACCTTTTTTTGTACTAGCTTATCAAGACCTTGTGGCTTTAAAGTGAATAGCTATACTTTTTATTATGTATCTTCGTTATTATTTCACTAACATATTGTTATTTATTTTTTTTTATATATTTGTAAAATTTTTGACACTATTTAATAAACACACAAGCACTAATCAAGGTCTTTATTTTGCTCATCATATTACTATATAGAACAATTTTCAATAATTTAACTTTTTTTTATTGAATTTCGTTATATTACATCATAGTACTTGTGTGCTATTTCTAAGTTAATGTTTTAAACGCCTGGAACTAGAAGGTAGAAAAGTGTTTGTAAAAGAGCATTAGGATTTTAATGCTAACTGGTTGGTTCCAAAACAGTATAATCGTATAATTCAGTAATAAGAAAATAAAATAAAACTTTGTTATTACCAGGCATGAGCACATTATTTATATAATTTAAATCATCTATTTTTTTATCACTTTGTTTTGTACAATATCTGATTCCAATCATTCTATTAAGCAAAATAGAATTAAAAGATTATAAAAAATAATAAGGGTAATATTTATAAATAATTATTAATGATACCCATTTTTTCCTTGGTTTATATTTTAATTTCAAAGGAACCAGATGATTTGTTTGAATAATAGCAGTTTTATAGTCATCAGGATCTAATTAAAAGGTTTTTTTAATAAATTAAAAGGTTATAATAATATTCTTTAAATGCTAATGATAATAGTAGCACATTAAATATGTTTCTGCAAGATTCTATTACCCATATAATTCACTTTAAGTCCACTTGAATCTATTGATTTGTGTATTTCTGGTTGGGAAATAGTAGCTACAGATAAAATAAAAAGAGGAACAGTATAGTCAAAGGACAAAATATGAATAGTTGGGCTTCACGAAAGTTCTATTGAAACAGTAGTGACTAGAGTTGAGATTCATCATAAGGAAGTTAAAGAAGTAAAGGTGGAAAATAATGTAAATGTTTTATTGAAAGGAGCTGAAAAGAAAGAAATTACTCTTTAATATCCTATGCAGTTGGCAAAACAATATCATTGTATGAAGTTATTAATCTAAATCTCCAATTGCTATAAGTAAAAGCATTGTATGTACTGTATGTATATATAATATACATATATACGTATATACAGTACAGTAACAAAATTCTTGGTCATTTTGGCCTTGCAATTTTATTGGTTAGTCGCACAGAGCTGGTAGAATGGTCGAAAGAAATCTAGAATAATCTGATTGACATTTTGTTACCATAAAAAGAGCGATCTACATTATCCTAATTTGGTATATTCCCTGACTGTATGATTTGACTTGATATAACAATAAAGATTCAAATTGATCCAATAATATAGATTCAAATTAATCTAATAATAAATATTTAAATAATATATTTAAAGATTTAGAAGATAAATTATTAATCAAATTATTATATCAAAATCTTTAAAAAAGTTGTTAAGCAAATTTTTTTTATTTATAATATTTTTATCATTATAGTATAGATTTTTAAAAATTAAAAAATACTAAACTAGATCTTGTTCAAATATAAGCAAACAAGGTTACTTGCTAGTTGTATAACTTGTTTGTATATTTATTGTATCTAAATGCAGTATATATATAAATAATAAAAAATAATATTTTATTATTAGTATTATACAAACATTTAGATTAACAATTAATATATATATTAATATAATTATTAGTAATCTCTTAGTTTAGTTTCTTGTTTGATTATTTTTCATTCATTTTCTGAGCTCAATTTACAAAATTTTATTGGCACTTTTAACTATTTTTTGTAATTGTGAGTGTTTTGGATACTCATTAATAATACATACACCTAGCTAAAAACTCATTAATTCAGAAATAAAATTAGTAAATATTCTTTGCCATTATTTAATTATAAAATTATAGATGCTCTAAATACTGTAAGGATATTATAGAGAAATACTATTACTTCAAAAGCATATTTGCTTATACAGTAAAATATTGAACCTATAAAAAGTAGGTAAAATGATTATAAATATAACAAATATATTTATATTTGTTAACAGGCTAAATATTAGTTCAACTAGATTAACTTAAATACAAGAAAGAAAATTTGATGCTACAATTGATATGACAGTATAATCACTTAAAAATAATTATTATGTGATACATATTTTATATGCTTCACAAAATTCTTTAATAAATAATTGCAAAATATAGTTATATTGTTTTTCAATTTAAATTTTGTAAAATTTAAAATATGTTATATAGTTATTAAATATAAAT